GGGAGGGGGAGGGAGAGGGAGAGGGAGAGAGTTCCATCTCGTTCCATCCCATGGCCACTCTCTCTGTTCAGGCCACAGTCATTTCTGACTTAGGCTAATGTAGCTGCCTCCTAAAGCTTTCCCTGCCTTGGTTTTCCATCTTCAACACCGTTAGGGGCCTATAAAACACAACCACCCAACATTCTGACGTTTCACTTTTCAGACAAAGCCCTCAGGCTCCCCTTGACCCAGCACACTCTGTGTCTCCTGGACGTGGGCTCCACCATCACTGTATTTCTAGGCTCCCATTCCATGTGACTCATTCCACGTCACCCCTTTTGGGAAGCCCTGCCCACAGTTCCCAGGTGGAGCTAATTCTCTTTCCTGTGCTCTCCTGTGCCACAACCTTCAAGTGTCCCCACGCCCCGTTTTACTGTCCTGAAGCTTCCAGGCTGTGAGCTCCCTGCTGGGCATGTGGGGAGGTTTGAGAACTGCAGTTTAAGGGCTGCACACCATGAAGGGTGAGACTTGAGGGACAGGCAAGGAAGACCAAGTCCCCTTGAACTTGAGCTCTCAGCTCTACAGGCCGGTCAGCTCTGCTCAAGGCAGTGGCAGTCAACCCTGGCTATATCTGAGTGGCCTCATGTTGTGGTTTGAATCCAATCTGTCCCCCAAAAGGTTCACGTGTTCAGAAGCAGGGCTTTTGGAAGGTGGTTAGATATTTGGCTGCTAACCTCATCAATGGATAATCTACTTATGAGTTCACAGCTGACCTGCTGTTGGAAGTGGGGGCCCGGCTGGAGGAACTAGGGTACTGGGAGAGTACCTTTGAAGGGTATAGCCTATCCTTGGTCCCTCCCCCCTCCTCCTTGCTCACTTTTGGTTAGCTACAATGAGGTAAGCAGCTGTCTTCCACCATGGTGCCTTACAACTGACTGCCTCTGTCTGGCAGCGTATTTTCATGTAGGGAGCCATCAGGTCTCAGGGCACGTGTCCCTGCTGGACTGGGTGGGGCTGTCTTTCTTTACCTCACCCCAGCCCAGACCCAGGATATGCATGTGACCCAGACTTGGACCATGACACAGACTATGACCAGCACCCCCAGGTCTTCCCAGGACTCTGCTGGGCCCCTGGAGAAGCCATCTCCCCTCTGAGTGGTGGTGGGATGTAAGGCCAGGCAGGCATGGGGCAGCCAGCATCCAGCTCATCTCCGCATGCAGAGTCAGCTTCAAGAACAACCCCAGTGAAGCCCTCACCCTTGGCGTGAGGTGGGCACCATCACTAGGCCCCTGTGCCGACACTGTCCTTCTTAGGGAGCTCGTGACAAAGATCTTTATGTCTAGCTATGGTGAATGATGCCAGTCAATTAAAAGGTGCCTAAACAGGCCACCAGGAAGAGATGAGCTGAACAAGTGTACCCACAATGGCCAGGGCAGGAGGAGAGAGATGCTCTCCGGGGCAGGGGGTTAGGATGAGGACCAGGGGTCACAGCTCAAAAGGAAGAGCAATGTCTTGTGGGAATGGGAAGGAAGACTTGGGCAGGCAAAGGGGACACTGAAACAGGGGCAGCAAAGACACACTTCTCTTTTAACCTGTGGCTTCTGGGTTGGTGGCTTCGGTCTGGGGCTGACTCTGGCAGAGAGAGCTCCTCTTCAAAATCCCTGCCATTAGCTGGATGTGGTGCTTCACACCTGTAACCCAGCACTCTGGGAGGCTGAGGCAGGAGGAAGGCAAATTTGAACCCACCCTGGAAAATTTAGTGACTAAGTGAGACCCTGTCTCAAAATTAAAAAGGGAAAGAGATATAGCTCAGTGCAAAGGACCTGGCTTCAATCTCCAATACTGAAAAACAAAAATCCACTCTGCCATGCCCTCTTTTCTCTCCTCTCCCTATTTTTGGAATTAATGTAGGACTTCACATAAATTCTTGCCATTTGCATGGGCCACCTCAACATTAGGCCACAGAGAAGCAAAGGCTGTGTCCCCAAAGAGCTCTAGGTCTTGTAGGTGGGCATCCAAATGGCAACTAACAATGGCCCTAGCAATGTGCTATTTAATGTTTAAATAAACATGTGGGGAAATAGAAATTTCTGTGTCATCACAAACATGTGAATTGCTGTGGAAAATTACCCAGGAAAGCTCAGCACTGTATAGAAAAGCCCCGAAGTTCTACTTTCCAGAACCCACAAGGAGAGAATATTACAAAGGTCTCAGATCCAAAAGGTGACCTGTTCCCGTTCTGAGGTACATCACCTTATGTCTGTCAGGGCAAGTCGGAACAGGAGGTTGGCAAGGATTTGCACACCCCTTCCCTTCCCTCTCTGGATGGGAGACAGCCTCAGACCACCAGGGGAAGGCCTGTCCCGAGTCCTGTGCCTGAGGCGTAGGGTTTCCTTGGGCCAGGGATAGCAGGACAGAGTGGGTAAGGAGGGAGAACCTCAAGGGGCAAGGGCAGAGACGGACACCTCTGGGGCCCAGCCAGGTCTTCATCCCCACAATCTCCCACCAAGACCCTGGCTATTGGAGAGCAAGACTTCAGCAGCCTGTGCAGCCATCCCTGCTGCAGAGGCTGGAGCACATCTGTCCACTAGGCAATGGGTTTGAATCCAGGACCAAGGACTCAGCAGCAAGTTACCAAACCTCCCAGGGCCTCAGTTTCTCTCCAGAGAGTGGGCATGATAAAGCACCCATCTCGAGGGACTCCCTGTGCTAAGGGAGTGCTGCCCGAAAAGCACTCAGCCTGGTCACCCACACACATCAGGTGCCATCCAAGTTCAGTGTAATCACCTCCACAGCTCTGTAGGGCAGGGACCACTTCCTTCTGATACGGTGGACGCGATGCGCCATCTGTGGAAAGCCAGAGCGACTGTATGCCTCGCTGTGACAGCCACTCTGGACCCTGGCCAACACGGGTGATTCCCTTAGTATTTATGAAAAAGCACTGAAATACCAATACCAAATGGTTAAACAAACCCAGATTGTTGTTGGGGACTTTGATGGAGAAAGGATTAACTCACTTCCAAGTCCTTGGCTTCGTACCAACATTATTTACTTAGCTGAGAACAGCCTTTCAACACCAGCCAGTGAGAAAGACCAGGCTGAACACTGGGGCGGCGTGGGGGAGCAGCAGGGGACAGCAGGGACTCATTACGCAGACATTGGCTAGGGTCTCGGGGTTTCTTTTTTGGCCAGCCCCCTAATTGAGTCAGGGAGAGACTAGGGGTTCCCTTTTGTTTTTAAGAAAAGACTACATGCATAATCAGGCTTGTAATCGGCAAGTGAAGGCGCCTCTAGGCAGCAGTAGCTTTCACCTGCTTACTTCTCCCAAACAGTTAACAGTGCTCTAAATACTTCTCTAGGTCCCCAACAATTTAAGTGCAAATGTGTTAAGAAACATTCTGGTGCCAGACCCCCAGGTCTACAAAGAAGCTTAGTGTACTTCTTTTCACATGTGAAGCCAAAGTATGTGAAGCTGGATGATGCTTACGGCAAGATTTGATGATGTCACCGTCTGCTCCGCTGGCTGGACTCGCTGGTGAGATAGCTGTCACCAGCCTGCTGCCGGGCACTTATCATGGGACTGACTGTGTCACCGTCATGGGCACATCAGAAACCTGGCGGACAGCAGACGACGCGGGCCTGCAGGGGGCCGAGGTGCAGCTGCGTGGCACGGAAGACGGAAGACCGAGGGGCCGGACTCCATGCACGCCGCTCAGTTCATGTCGTATTTCTTTTCCGCTTTTAAGAGGAGAGAGTAAAAATTCAAGGCTGTGATTTTTAGGAGACATTACAGGAGCTGCTGTAAGAAAACAAAATAGCCTGGAATTATTACCAGTATTCATTGAGGGCTTTCTGTGGACTTGAATACCGTTGAGTGCTGGAAACCCAAAGATGAAATAGCCCTAGCTACCTTCAGCCACGGGTAAATAATCCAGGCAGCACGAGGAGGCTGAAACGAAGGGCAGACATGTCGCTTCTGTAGCATGGCTGCCACAGGGCCAGGCTTCTCTCTGGTCCCTCCCGGAGATGTCAGACAGAGCTGACTGTCCCCAGCCTGCAGTAGGAGAACGGGGACCCAGAAAGGGGAATCATCCCAGTTCACACTGATAAGGACTAGCAGAGCTGGAATTCAGAACCAGATCTGCCCATGTGTCTCCCGGAGCATGAGTCCTCCATGGGGCCATCCAGGCTTTGGAAGGTAATGGATTCCAGGAGCACGGGGGGTGGGGGTGGGGGTGGGGACAGCCTCTGTGTCTGAGGAAAAGGAAGGAAAACCAGAGAAACGGTGATGTTTGAGCTGTGAAGTACACCAGGACTTCTGGTTTCTGTTTTCTCTCCCTTCATGCCTCTCCTCCTAGACCAGCAGAGCTTTCAATGATACAGACAGTCCGCTGTGGCACGTGTGCCTAGGTTCGCCACCACTGGCCCAGGCTGTCCGTGGTGATGGCCCTGGAGAAGGCACAGATGTGAAAAGGGCTCTTGCTCATGCGGATGGTCTGGCTGTGGGTTTGAAGGGAGGATGCTGGACGGGTGAGGGGTGGGGAAGCTGCATACATAGTCCTTCCCTCCAGCCCTGAAAGAAAGGGAAGCCAGGAAGCCCCACAGGAGGCAGGTGGTGGGTGATGTGGAGCTTTCTAGGCACCGGGCACACGTTGGGTCCGGTGAGTCTTTGTATTGACCAAAGGAGCCAAGGGAGAAGAGTTTCTTGGCAGCTCTGACAAATGACCCTTGAGGAGCAGCGATCTGACCATAATAAATTCCACTCTTATTTTGCTCTGATCCATGTCGCAGAGCTGCCACCATCCTGGCTGGTGACAGCCAGTTTGGGTGCTAAAATGTGTCAAGTGCTTTTAATGGGCTCTTGACTGTGCTTTCCAGGCGTGGGCCATGGAGGAGCACTTAGCTAATTGGTTGCCTGGGCCCCTCAATTAGAAAAGTGCATTTCCTGCCGAAGAGCTGTATGCATCCTAGGGAAAAGGGGCGATGCAGGCTGCTCCCACGGAAGACAAATGCCACTTATGATGCCAAGCAATGGTAAGGCTGGGTGGCGGCATGGGACACCAGGAAAAGGAAGGAGGTGGCACTGACATTCCTGAGCTTTGGCTTCATTTCTCTCCAGTGGCAACCAAAATGAGAAACAATAAACAAGCAAACAAATACAACTCACCTTCAGAATGCAATTCAGAAAATGCTGGAGCTTATCCCATCAGAAGACTCCAGTAAGATCTGTGACATCCACAAAACAGCTGCTCTGATATCTGACAGTGAGGGGCCCAGAGGAAGAAAGTCCATTATCTGGAAGCCATTGGAGATCTGTGCTTAAAACTTCGTAGGTCAGAACCCCCCCAGAAGGGTCTTCTTGGGTAATAGCTGCTAAGTAAACCAGGGCGGTGTTTCCACCAGCTTTCCCCCTCAGTATTAATAACAGCACCATTCCTATCCAAAACGAAATGTCTTTTGTAATTGTGTAATTACACACCTCATTTATCCAATTGTTAAGCCAAGAGACTGATTAAATATTAACAACTGCTTGGTTCTCCTGGTGTCATTAGTTGGAACACAACCCTGTAATCTCAGGTAACACATGATGGTAATTATCCTTCACATTCACATTTAGCTGAAAACCCAGAGCAGTCAATCCAGATAAAGTGGCCTGGTAGAAAATGCACTGCCTTTAAATCCTGGTTTATCTCCTCTGTCTGGGGCAGGTGCATTTCAGACCAGGTCAGGGTTTTTAAGAGTAAACCTGCTGTCACTGGGTAATAGCTGGGGGATTGAGGCAGGGCTGGTGTAACAAACAGCTCAATTCCCGGATATACAACCCTCTCCACTCATAAATCCAGCAGGGCTTCAGAAGTTGTAATGGGATTTCCCCCAGAGCACCACGATGGAGAATCTGGTCAAGCATCCCTCATTTTCGAAAACCATGCTGAGTCCAGCAGTCCTCCTTCTCATTCCTGCTGAGCTGGGGATTGGCAGGAAGTGGGTGTTCACCGGCCTGGTGGCCTGTGGCTTTGTGGCTTCAGCCTGGCCCGTCTCTCGGGGAGCCAGGGTTGTGACAGGTCCCTCCTGAACCGGCCTTTTCCTCTCAGGCCATCTCCGGTCTTCCCGGGCCCAGAGGCCTCTCTCTCCCACACCCTTTGACTCACTCCATCCACACTCACCTGCCTCATTCCTCTGATGCCCTCCTGCTCAGGCCTCGAGGCCACTGCCCAGGGGTTCTTCTGTGCAGGACTAATGACCCGTGACTGGTGAGTCTGGAGTAAAATGGATCAGGTTTAGGAAGAGCGTCAAGCCTGAAAGAGGCTGGAAGAGTAGAAGGCCACTCTGTTTGGACATGATGCAGTCTGGAAGTGTGAACCCAGGGTGAGGCCGAGGGCATCCCCATCCCGAGCCCCCAGGGCAGGCAGCCTCCTGATGGAAGGGTGATCAGGCGGTCCTGTGCAGACATCCCACCACGAGGCCACCGTGGAAATGGGCTGGGGTCTGTGGACACTGGAGAGTCTCTACACCACGGCCCTGGCACGGTGGGGTGGAGGCCGGGCCCATGCAGACCCAGGCTGGCCAGGTCTGGAGGCACCGTGAACCCTCCCGGGCCCAAGTGAGGCACTGCAGCACGCCTGTGACTGTTACAGTAGAAGGGCCGTGGCAGCAAAGGTGACATGCCTTCACGGGTACGGAGGGCGTGCTGCCATGCTTTGCTTGGCTACTGAGGAGACACCACTAATGGGAAAGACTTAGTTCATTATTGTCAGACTAAGTGGAAAGAACCCTATTTCCTGAACTTTGGGGGAATCTCTAGAAGGATTTGGGCTCATCTTCAAGATGTATTCACACATTGATAAACGCTGCTGTGAGGAGCGAAATGAGAACAGGGAGGAGCAGATTATGCTGAGCTGATTCTTTTAAATAAACCTGGGGGGTGGTGCAAGAGCACGGTGGGGACTGCGGGATCCGTAAGGCCTCATTTCCAGGATTCTAGCACAGCTAAGGTTGACAGAAGATGTCCGCCTCTGTATTAAATATCAAAGACCTCCGATTTTACATTGAAGAGGAAAGTGAGAGAATAAGCAAAAAGAACAAAGACCAAACCAGTCTCCTTAGTAAAAGCCAGATCTGTGCAGCAAACTTGGGGTTTACATTTATCGCTCAGCGGGGAAGAGCTGTTTAAATCTTCCAAAGCAAGCAGACTGGCACCACGCCTCCTGGGAAGATCAGGCAGTTTTCTTTTGACAACTCATTTGCTGGATCCCAATTACACTGTAGGTTTGGGTTGCTGTCATTGTTTGTTTATTTAACACCAAAGTCGGGGAAAGTCCGACGGAACAGAATTGCTCACCCGGGTCAGAACCTCGGGGCATTCCAGCTGTGCACGTGACCATCTGGGGGCTCCTTGCAGCTGCCTTTAAAACTCGGGGCCTCCACTAGGGGCCCTCGCGGGCTGATTTCTGATTTGACAGCAGCATCTAAGGATTTGCTCTTAAATTTCTCCAGCCCAGAGGCTCCCCTCTGATGTTTAGGAATCCAGAGGTTTCACTTTGCCACTCCACCACTTTTTAGCACTCTTCCTCTTTTTGACCGGCAGGGCATCAAACTTGTGCCAATCAGCGAGGTTTCCGGAGCAGTGGAGGCTCCTGATGCTGAGTAGGTGCAGTACCCGGCCTGCCTCTGGGGATTTATAACCCTACCTGTCGTGCCACTACACCCAGAGAATGCTTTCTGCAGCTGGCAGTAGGCATGCGATGCCCAGAGGCACTGAGCCCCAGAGACCTGAGAAGCCGGCTTGAGCCCTGCCTGACAAATGCGGCTCATGGGGGAAGCGGCTGAGTTCATTGGTTCCGACTTCAGCATTCAGATCATCGTTTTCCCTGAGGTGTGCATCACAGGAAACAATATTACTGAAGCCAGGTCCTTTCCAAATGGCAGAAATTAATCAAGTTCCATGATCATTCCTAATGGGAAAAGGGAAGGGAGCACTTGAACATTTAATTACAATATTGTGTAATTGTTAAATCACCAGTGACATTACAAAATGATCTCAATGAACAGATGCATGATGAATTTTTGTGTGAGAAGGCAGCCATGCTCAGCAAAAAAGGAAGCAGTCATAGGTGCCTCTCCTCCTCCTTTATCTTCCCCCAAAGGGACCAATTCAAAGAGATAATTTGACTAGATTGTCTTTAATTACATTGTAAACATTTCCAAAAAAAAAAAATCTGAGATAAAGGTGAACATAAGTCAGTTGGCAATAAAAATGCAGGCTCCAATTCTTCTTGGCTGACAGATGAAATGAGTTTAATATATTCTTGCTCTGTGGAAAGCAGAATCATTTTAAATGGCAAACAACTGAATTCAATTAGCAGGCCTTGTTCAAAACGGCTTGGAGACGTGCAGGGCGAGGAGCTCGTGTTATCCACCCAGGGCGGCACGGGAAACAGCCGGTTTGCGCTGACGGACTTGGTTGGAGGAGCCGTGTGGAGTCCGTCCCTCTGCTTCTCCTTGAAGCAAATCCGGCAGGCAGATCTATGAAGAGATTCAGCTGCTAGTGTTTTCAATCCCTCGCCTTACACAGGCACTTAATTCATCAGGAAGATACAAAAGCAGAGAAAATACAGTGTTGAAAGATGTACTACTAATGCATTGCTTTCAAATGCAAGTCAGTCTCAGCCGTGACGTACAATTCCAAAATCTCCTGCACTGGTAAGTCAGTCAGCACTTGTGTCCCGTCAGGGCTCCCCCACCTGAAGAGTTGGTTCCCACGGGCTGATGTAGGCGTTGGTGACAGTGTCCACTTTGGGGCACGGAGTATCTGTCTGTTTTGTAGGCGAGGTCTTTGCTGTCGTGTTTAAGGGATGTGTTTCCCACCCCTTTGGACAGCCATCATTTCTACAGCCCTGGAAACATAAAGAGTGAGGTTCACACATTGAATTGCTGTGACCAGCTACGAGGAAGACCAGAAGAGTGAGGAGGAACCACATTGTCATCTGGCCTGTGTACCTGGTCCTCCCTTTGCTCAAGCCCTTGGTGATTCTGTTTCGTGAAGGCCGTGGTCCAGGTTGGCCCTGAGAAGCATAATTTACATAGGAGATCAGAACACTGGTAGTTTCCTTAACCTTCACTGGAGAGATTCCGATGAAGACCTTCAGTATTCACATGGTACCTGCATTTGAACTCTGAGTGAGGGAGTGAGCAGGCCAGCAAGGCACCACATTTCAGTGACACAGGCCACGCTCTTGTCCAGTGGGAGGACTGGACAGAGGTTCTGTCCTTCCCTGTTGGCGACTTTCTCCTACTGTCACGTCCTGCAGGGGTCTCCGGGTGATCCTCGGCCTCTGTTCAGGTCCTTGCCCTCACTTTGGCAAAGAATGGGGAAGTGGGGCTCCTAGTGACAAATGGGGGAGTCAAGGCTGGTATAGTGGGAAGCAACAGTTCCTATTTAAAGTGTGGCAGATGCAGAGGGAGGAGGGAAACTCTTAGCAGCAGAGTGGTGCTATAAGACCGGCGTCTCACTGGGGATGCCTGGTGAGGGCACATCATCCTGTAGGGGTATGCTGGTTTCCTGAATGGTAGTTTATGCCAGTGTGGGTCTTGGCCTTTGTTTCTGGGAAGGGGACAAGGTCAGCCTAAGTAAATGTGGCACTTTCATAATGATGCTGTAGGGCACATTTTCTCAAGCACACGGTACACAGGTGAGCATGGAACCATCTTACACTTGTCAGCCCCAGTCAGGCACTTGATGATATTACAGTGCCAGTCATCCGTGTTTATTCCTGAGTTTTTGTTTATATCCCTCTGCCCCTATAATATCTTCCATTCTGGGAATGTCCAGATTCTGCGTTTTCCTTTTTAAATTTTGTTCTTTGCTACCCCTCCCCACTTTTTGTTGTTGAGATGGGCTCTTGCTATGTTCTCTGGGCTGGTCTTGAGTTCCTGGGCTCAAGGGATCCTCCTGCCTCAGCCTCCCAAGTAGCTAGGACTACAGGTGCATACTACTGCTTCTAGCTTTGCCCCTACTCTCTTAATTCAAAACGCTAAACTTTCATTCTGAATGTTTTGTTAGAGATGTTTCTGTGCACTAAGTGGTCATCACTGTTAACAAAGGTAATGCCGGAGCTACTCTGGGAAACCACAGCAGGCCAGGGAGGAAAAACTGACAGAGAGGCACACACAGAAAGCCCATCTGAAGGCGGTCCAGGTTGGGCAGTGAGCCTGCCAGCTGCCGAGAGGGGTGAGTTCTACAGGCTCTGTGGGCGGGGTTCACAGTGCTTTCCCACCAGCTTCCTCAGGGCTTGGCTCCAGTTAGTGCAGAAAGAGGGCTGCTAAGAACAAAGGGCCACTGTGAGTGAGGAGAGCTACTCCGCGCTTGGGGAATAATAAAATCTGTCCCTTGCGGCTGGAGTGCAGAACTGCAGGTGCCTTGGCCCCCAGGGAATGACTTCATCTGAGAAAGTGAAAGTGCCTCAGGGGGTAAGCTGTGTGGAATCAGGGTCAGCCCTCCCCAGAGGAGAAAGGCTTGGCTCCAAGGTGGCACCTCCACCTCAGTGGTGACTGCTGTTCTGACACATTCCCTGGTGGCACAGGGTCAGAAGGTGAGGCCTCTACAACCGATCACATGAGAAACATGAGTTTGGTGGTGATAGGGAGGGAAAAAGACTTTCTGTGTGCTTCAGGCCTGATGGCTTTTCAGCGGACATCTTACATGTCTTATTTTAATTGTCTTTTGCAGGTACTGTCCATTTAAGACATTTTCCCAAAGATGCTGAGAAAACTGACAGAAACCCAGATGGTTCAAGAGCCCACTGCTGTCTGTACTGGCATGGCTGCACGTGGTAGCAAACTGAGAGGTGTCAACCCGCAGTTGAGTGTGACTCAGGCTCCAGAGCTCTAGAGGACGAAAGGTTCAGTGCCAGCTTTACAGTGGGCACACGACTGATCACACCCAGCCTCAGGTGAGGGAGAAGAGGGCCAGCAGCTTGCATTTTGGGAACATGGGCAAGCATCCTAACAGCAGCCCTGGCTCTTTCATTTGCCATCAAATGAAACTCAGTGACTTCTTTACCAAATTAAATGACTATTAATGCTGGAGTATGTAGAGGGCCTTTCTGAATACATCTTAAATTCCTTGTAGTACGAGAAGGCCTTTTGCTATTTCCAAATGAATCGTCACAACACTAGCCCGTGACTGCAGCCCAATACACTCTCCTTATCTCCAGAAGAGAGCAGATTCTGGGTTGCAACTGCCCAGTTTCTTAGCCAC